GGGAAAGCTTGGCACAGCGCTGATATGTAAACATTGCTACACTTATCATTTTCCCTTTTCTTATTGCTCTAATTTTGGAGCCAATAAAAACAATAATTTTCTACAGATTGCAGTCATAAGCAGGTAATCTGTTATGTGTGACGTGCTGCGACTGTAAATTTATTTTGCTGTGGAGAAATTGACGTAGCACTATCATGTCAAAGTGAACCAACACCACATCAGGACTGAGGAAACATTGTTCAACTAGCGCTGGGAAACAAACTCGCGGCTAACGATGAGAAGTAGTATCGCAGAGAATAAAACTTTCCATCAAATTGTGTTCGGGGAGGGGATTCACTTCAAAGAGATTTCAACAACAGTGCTGTCTGTCTAATTTACGTTTTTCAAGCACATGCCAAATGTAAAAACCCCAATTTTGAGGAGTGTATAATTACAGGGAGAGAAATGAATGACTATAAATAACCCCATCATTACTAGTCCCTCCTGAAGAACATGATCCATACTGAAGGATAATTAAGGCAAAATATTTCTGATCCGCCAACAGACTGTACCAGGAATGTGTGCACGCGTACACTCGTGCTTCTGTGTGTTCATTGCGCATGGGTTTGTGTGTGTTACAGATAGAAAGACTGAGGGAGTGTGTGTGTGTGTGTGTGTGTGTGTGTGAGAGAGAGGGAGGGAGGGGGGAATCACAAGGCATTCTCCCCTAAATATAGTTCTGTTCTGGTGGAGCCGCTATGTACGGATACTTCAGGAGAACTCAAGACAGACCAGCTTTAATTGGTTTGCGGAGTCATTAATGGAACGGAAGCACAACTCCAGTACAAGTGTGTGTGTCTGAACACGAGCGCTTATGTGTGTATATTGGACCCTGTCAATGCCCTTTAAACAACAACAGACACAAGGAAATAACTTTGATCAACAAACATGTAGCAAACAAGAAGATAATAATGAACCTCCATGTTCAGCCGAGGTCTCTTAAAATAGACCATTTCAACTAGGATATATCAGATTTGAGGATAATATTTCTAGATTAGGCCAGCTAATTAGTGCCCCAATATTTGGCACGGCGCTTTGACTGAGATCCAAATAAGCATATTGTCCTCATCGGAGAGGAGTGAAAGAGCTTTCCTGTGTTCTTCACTCAGAGTCAGAAAGAATGTTCAACTGAGACAGAGAAAACTTTACTCGACTGCTCTCCCTGCCTCGCTTTGTTATCTCTTCCTCTCTTTCTTGCCCGATCAAAACGTAAGAATGTCGCTTTGAGTGGCCAAATGAAAGGAAACCAGGCAAACATGAGCGAGAGACCGTGTTTATTTCTAGTATATCTATAAGCCAGGCCAGGTTTTTGTGTCGGCAGGGGTCTGCACGGGTTGTTGAGTTGTTGTGAGTTGCTGCTGAACCGGCAGCGAGTCAGTCAGCCAGCCAGTTGTCAGGCAAGTACCAGTTCCTTGTTGCTATTTGTGTTTGAGTGTAGCCGTGCCGAGAGCCTCCCTCCCTCCGTTTTCCCTTTTCCAACCGAATCCGCCAACCTCTTCCTGTGGCAAGAATCGTGTCTTACAGCAGCCTATCGCTCCTGCAATGAAAAGCCTGTGACCAAGGCATTCGTCCCCTTTCACTGCCATTGTGTCGCTGAAACAAGGAGCAGGAGCAAAGTAGTCAGCTAAACACGGTGTAGCAGGGTTCGATGGTGGCCCCGCTGTGGCTGCTAGTGCCGGGGCTCCACTGACTTGTTGTTGCTTGTTGTTGTGTGTTTCCCCCAGCTGGGGCCGGGGCCAGGGCCAGGGGATGGCTTTTGTGTCATCGTGCGAGCCGTGTTGCACTCGTGAAACTAGATAAATGGATTAGAGGGGCGCAGATATGGGCGGGCATCTTTGAGAAAAAGACAACGGAGATGTTGAAGGGAAGCAGGGGTTGGAAGAGGAGGGTGAAGGGGATAGGAAGAGGCAAAGACATTTGTGTTGTTGGGGCTACAAGGGGTCGAGTCGCTTGTAAGAATGGCCTGCTTCTGCCTAAAAAGACAAGACAGTGATAAACTTTCCTCCCCATGCAGTCACCTCTCTCCTCCTCACTCTCCCTGCTACACGCACACACACTCACACAAACTGTCACAGAGCACAATTCACCACTAAAATGAATGGATTGCCACAGTGTGACATGTCTCAGTTGCAGGGGGAGATGGTCCTTGTTCGCCAACAAAAGACTGTGGTATTATGGGGGGCCACAGCCTGCCACAGAATGCTAAATTGTTTTAGGGTCAACAACTTATTGTCTTTGCATGAGCCACAATTTACATATCTCCCGAGTAGGTTTCAGCTCTTGGTGCTCAGATGAAAATAGCCTTTGAAAGAGTTAAAGCCTTTCAAAGGTTGCTGGAAATACCTTTGATGAGTTGTTTTCTTTATTTATTTCCTTAGAAAAACAGCAAAACAACTCTTATTTCAGCCATGTAATGAGTAAATGGATTTCTGATATAATGTATGGTAATTATTAATTTGAATTATCTCATCACTTTAACCATTATGGAGCAATTACCATAATATAAGCATTGTTTACAGTGTGTAACAATAGAACCAGTGTTTTAAAGCCAGATAATATATGTATTTACCTCCATAATCCCAAAGAGCATTATTCTTAAGCTCTATATTTACATTTATTTCATTTATCTACTCTTCTATTTTTTTTATTTCATGGTCTTTATTTCCTTCCCCTCCCCTGCATCGTGGCCCAGGGCATGCGGGGAAGAAATGGCTGGAAGTGACAGCCTAATTATCAGCTCCAACTCCGCTCATTACCCATTAGACAATCCACTGTACATCCACTTACTAAATGAATAATTTTGTATATATTATGGGAACACAATATTATGGCCTGCAGCTAACGCCTTTGCGCTAACCTCACGCTGTTCCAGTACAAAAGAAATAAATGGGACACCGAGAGGTTATTTAATTTTAGCCCCCAAAAGCCAGCTCATGAGAGGATGTCATGTGCAAATGGAGCGCGGAGGGGAGGGGAGGGGAGGGGAGGGGAATATGAAATTTACACACCTGCCTTTTTTTTTTTTTTTTTTTTTGTTCCACGCCGCTATATTAGAATCATTATTGCCAAAGCACGTGTTGGAGCATAAGTGAAATTGGCGAGAGTCAGATGGCGTAATATTATTGTGATTTCTAACCTTTATCTAATGACAGGGGCCGGAACACCTTCTTTAAAAAAATCTCTTTGCATTGCTATCTGAGTTCATGCAACGAAAAATAAGACTGACACATTAAACTCCTCACTACAGTAAAATTATTGCGCATTTCCTTATTCCCTCCTGCACCAAGAGACACCCATTTGCATATGCTGATGTATTTGTGTTGTGAGTTAAGTTGTGTTAATGTAGCTATAAAAGCGGAATGACCCCGCTCCGGTCAACAAAACCCTCACTGACCTTTGTTAATTTTTCCTCCGCTGCGTGACTGTTTAGCGAATGGCCATTTAAGTGACGCAGATTTATGCGCATAGACGTCCCTCTTACTGCCACACAGATATGGTCTAGTCAACGTTTACCAAGCATTAAAAAAAAAGAAATAAATCACTTTTGCAAATGCTGTAATGTTTCAGACTGGTTAATTATTTGTAAAGTTAATTTAAAAGCTGTGCAGGCTTTTTTTTTAGGAGGTAATAATATTGCATCTCCAAATATTAGATGATTTACTGCAGATTCCCATGTGAAAACGAAAGATGATTTTGGCCCCTAACGAAAAATATTTCTCTTACTATATTTTATGTGAACTTAGAGTCATAATATTCCCATAAATAAAGTGACTTCTACTTCTGTTATTTGTATTCCTGTAGAATCTGCGCACGCGTAATGCAGTTAAAGGTGCAATGGGTTTAAATCAAACTGTAAAGCACAATGTATTGTGTGTGATAATACAGTTAGAGTACAAGTATTTCCACGTGAATTATAGCTCTTTTGGAGGAGGGGAGGAAAGCTTGTTTCAAGCTTAAGCGATATATGACTCGCCTATAGAGGTCGCTGTGATATTGCAAAACAGATGTGCATAAGTCACTCCACAGGTTTGGGCTACTCACATAATTCACCCTCTGGAACAGCTCACTTCGCAGCTTACTGTAATTTACAAAGGTGCCCGAGCTCACACAAGGAACAGTTTCTCCAATTATACTGGAGCTATTTTGGGACACACTTGGAAAAAAATCGCATGTGGAGTTTTACCCAAACAATAATGTGATAAAAAGGAGTCACATTTTAGTGAAGATGATTAAAAATGTTGCTTGTGTATCCATGAAAGCTCCTGTAAATGACAAGAACAGCAGAAAAACACATTGCTCACATCATCCCCCATCCTTGTTTATTATTGCTAAATTATTGCACTTTCCTCTTGTTATGTTTAAACCTCATTAGAGCTGTTGTGGTAAATCAATATTTACTTTTGGTCACCGATTGAGGAGCAAAGAAGCAGCTTTTTATAGGCTAATCATCACTATCAGCCTCGGGACAGATAGCACCCCCCCAAAACACTGACCCTGCTCCACAAGGCCGACAATGTCAGCCCCCTTCCTCCTCCTCCCCCTCCTTCCCTCCAAAAAAAACGAAAATATTAATAATTTATCTTCGAATCGACTTCTCTCTCTGACAGATTAGATTTTAACCATTTGATTTTGTTTGGACTGGGCGTTCCCATATTATTACTTAATGACCTTCCCAGCTGCTCCTGTCCATTTTCTGTCACCAGCAACCATCTGGACACTTATTAGCACCTCAATGCATCCACGCTGCTTTCCTCCCAAACTTGAATAAAATTAAGCCTGCTTGCAGACTGCCAATATCATTTTTTTCCCCTTCCTTCCCCATTCCCACCCTTGTTGAAATAAAATTGGTAGTAGGCCAACGTTTTGCTTTCCAAAAGATATGTGCAATAATAATTATAATAATATTAATTATGATGATAGTAATGACCATATCGAAAAGAAATATAGGCTGCAGATACTCGTGGGTTTTCTCTATAATTTCATTTAGTTTATTAGGCAAAATATACGATCTGGACAAATTCCTTCAACGCTTCCTATTTACAAATTTAAATCACTTGGTATTTACATTAACGAAAGGACACCAAAAAACACAAGATAGAGACAAAAATAATATTAATAATAATAATTATAATAATAATAAAGTAAAAAGCCTACCAAAATGTCCCAGCCTGCCTGGGCAAAGTGGAGAGAAAGAGAGTAACATTATAGGCGCGATTATAGGCTACACAACAATAGAGGAAGTAATCCATCCATCCACAGGATATTACCAAATTACGCCATTTGTTCTGTACCGACTGAATGCTACGCTGCATTATTATTTCTCAATGTCCTTTTTTAGGGAGTGTAAAGTCTTTTTTTTCTATTTTTCTTTTCCTTTTTTTTCAAGCACGAAAAAAAATGTCTTGATCAAGCCGAGGAGAGAGCAGTGAGGACTCGTTGCGTGGCGTCTTGTGGACTCCTGGCGCTGGAAGGCAGAGAGGATCTGGATAAAGAATAATACAGAAAGGTAGATAAATACCCCCGCCGTGTTTGGACAGCGGGTTTCAATATGCATCTCAATTGTCTGGCTGAACAGCTTTGATTTGAAACAGACTGCAATCCCACCCTCTCCAATCCACCACTTTCTTTTACAATAATAATAATAATAATAATAATAATGAAAGGAAAATATCACAATAATTATTCTTATTATAATTATTATTTTACAAGTGGCGAAAAAAATCCACCTTATGCAACAATTATCAGTATTTTAATCCCTTAATATTCTTCTTATTTCTAAATGACTGTTGCACACACACGTACACGTACACACACACGCACACAGAGGATATTTTGTAATACTTGAAACAGAGGTAAACTTTTTTTCCCTCTCCCCCTTTCGGTAAGAGCGCTCCCCAGGGCTCCGGCTTCTCCCAGGGGTCTTTAGGGAAAGCACACAGCCCAGACAGAGCCCGTTTTACTCGGTGACTTGATAAGTAGCCACACTCTCCCCAGAGGGGAGGAATTAAAGGGGGTGTGGGATGGGAGTCAAGACCCCTGTCACCCGCAAAGCAAACTGTGTTTTATTTATCTTTGTTGGTTTTATTTTGGAAGGGTTATCATTGTTGTTTTACGTTTAAAAAATAAATTAAAAGACATAAAAATTAAATTTAGACACTGGAATTCGTAAAACAAATTACATCCACTATGATTATATTTATTTGTCGGATAATTACTGGAGTTATAATTTCATAAATATCCTGGGCCTTCCCTCATGTTCATGCTTAATTTTACTTCTTTTAATTCTTGATGGAAAAAAAAAAATGCTTCTAAATTAGTTTACACTTTGATTGATGCAATAATATTATTCTACATTTATATATATATATTATTATAATGCTGAGGCTGGTTATGTTCTCATGGCAACGTGTTTCCAACAATCAGCAAAAGCAAAAGAGTAAAAAACGTGTCTCACCTGTCATGGATGGGTCGAAAGGAAGACTTCAGGATCTGTGTTGGAGGTGAAACAGACCTTACACCGTTTTCATGGTCTAAAAAGGAAATAAGCAAAAACACGTATTAGTACTGGGATGATGGATAAATTCTAGGTCTGTATATTTTTTCTAAAATAAATGAATATGTGTTAGTGTTGCTTTGTTAATGTAGTACGTGAACACTGTGGATTTGACTGTGTGTATGTAGCTTACTCATATATATAAATATATTTATATATATGTGTGTGTGTGTGTATTGTATGAAATACAAAAGTAAGGCATAAGATGCACCATTAATGTAACACATGGATTATGTTAAGTATAAAATACAAAGCGCTTGCATGTGACATTTATGCGCGCGCACGCGTCCAGACTGTTCCCTTACCTATGTGTTTGGGACTGTGGGTCTCTGGTGAGGCCTTGCTGTCATTGCTGAGTGCTGCTGCAGCTGCTACCGGCGACACCACCACTGATGTCGGCTGCTGCTGCTGTTGCTGCTGCTGCTGCTGCTGGGCCGGCAAGTGGTGGTTGTGGTGGTGATGGTGCTGGTTTACTCCCAGAAACGACCTCACATTTAGCAGGGAGTTCTGGCCCAGGAAAGCTCCATTTGTCCAGTTGTGGAACTTTCCAATCTGGCAAGTGTACAGTCCATGACTGGGGAGGAAGGCCGGGTGGGTCTGGATCTGGTGGTGGGGCGCTGATGAGTGAGTGGTGGCCGCTGGGCCACAAGGGGACGTGGGTTTCTGAGATGAGCTATCGGGACTAGTGGCGGTCTCTGCTAAAGACCAGATTTTAGGCTTATTGTTTGACGGGAGAGGAAAGCTCCCGGGTCTATCCGGGGACAAAACTCTTGTGGTGTTGTTGTTGTTGCCGTCCGAGTTGTCTTTACTCCCTGGGTGAACTGAAATTGTGCTCTTAGATTTGTCAAAGGCCTCATGGGCCTGTAGGGCGAAGGCCCGTCTTTTCTCCAAGCTGTCCAACTCTCCCCCCGCACCGACACCGCCCCTGTGGTCCCTGCTCCCCTCCGTTGATTTATCATCATCATCCTCGTTGCTTTGATCCCCGTCGTTGTCGTCGATTTTGTCTATATCTATGCTCTCCAAATCAATCTCCTCCTCGTCTTCGTTTTTCTCCGCCTCGTCTCCGCTGCCGAACAAGTTACCGTCCTCCCCGTCCTCTTTGCTCCTGCTTCCCCAGGTCACCTTGTTCTCCTTCTTGAGCCTCCTCCTGGCGTTGGCGAACCATGTCGAGACCTGCGTCAGCGTCATTTTGGTGATGATGGCCAGCATGATCTTCTCCCCCTTGGTCGGGTACGGGTTCTTCCTGTGCTCGTTGAGCCAGGCTTTCAGGGTGCTGGTGCTCTCCCGGGTGGCGTTCTTGGGCCTGGCCGGATCCCCGTACTGAAACTGGCCGTATGGGTAGAAGGCCGGAGACGTGTGGGCTGCAAAGCTGGCAGGATGGACGCCAGGACTATCCTTCAGCTCATACTGGGATCCCTTGAAAATAAAGGATGATAGTTTTATAACATTAACATTAAACATAACATTAAATATGCAGAAATAGTGTGACAGGCTGAATTTTAAAACACACCCCTTAATCATTTTAGCTCAGATGCATGTGACCATTGTTTATTTCTGCAACTCAAACAAGTGAAATGACCTCCATTTAAAAAAAAAAAAAAAAAAAAAAATCCACGAGCTGCACCTGACTCTGAGCTTTCCACAAATAAGCTTCTCAACTTGCAAAATACCACATGCTAGGCCTGCGTCACCTGCGCCTGCACAAATACTCACTCAAAGGCAAGAGACCTTTGAGCAGCAAACATGTTTCATACATGTCAGTCTAAAAACGGAACACACCAAGTCAACAGGATGGGAGAAAGTTCGCTGCATCATTGTGAACACGCAGATGGCCTGCAAACTGCCAGCTTTCATGTTTACCTGCCAAACTCCCCCCTCCCTCCCCTCCACACTCCTCAAGCACGTCAAAGCACTTTCAGGGCCTTAAGTTAAGTTTTCTCTGCGTGCCGCACTTTACGCATGGCTCGCTTATATTTGCTTTGGACACAGCACTCAAACATATCGATCAGTTCACACGCTTGGAGTTTGGGGATAATAGCTCTTGTTTTGGGAGCTTTGGCGCAGTAGTGCCTGCCTGCGGGCCTGACGCACACCTTTGCCAACACGTTAATACACTGCAAGTTGATTTTTATCACCTGGTGTATTTTAGGCCAATGCATCTGGCAATTCATAAAGACAGGAAGAATCCACGTGGCATTCAACCATGACAGGAGGATACACTGTGGCAAAACAAAGCCTCCACCACCATTAATATTTATTGTAGGCTGTATTTATAGCCTGTAAGCTTTTGTTATTTGGTGGAGATTATTTTAATGGTCTGATAGAAAAAATCAGGCTGGGTTAGGAAACAAGTTGAAACTTTTTCTTTGCATGGTGCATGTTAAAACGCAGATCTATGACACGTTTTTTTTCCTTCCGTGATCTAAACTTTGCAATCGATCATCCTAACATTTAGAGAAAATAGTCATAGTTGGTGTGAATTACGGCTTTTGTTTACATGTTTTGCTTGATGCGCAAATACACAATTTCAAGTCAGAATTTTTGTTTATTTTTTTTAATTAACAGCTCAAACTTTTCACATTTGTAACTCAGCCAAGTAAGGCACGCAACCGTGAAAAAATAAAGCAAATGCGCACGAATATTTAGCAATCCATATTTAAATAATCACGTATAAGATTGCGTTTTTTATTGTTTTTGTTTACATTACGCAGCCTTTTTTTAGTCAGATGTGGGAAGCTTACGCATACACAATCGTCTGTGCAAGGCGGATCCGTAAACAGACATACACATACACACACACACACGCACAAAACAAAAAAACAGCATACATTCTTACCATTTGTGAGAAAAGAGCCAAGTCCGCGCTGGTGTACGGTAAGAAAGCGCTGTAGTTGTGTGCGTACGGGTTGGCGTACATGCCCAACACCGAGGTGACCGCCGCTGCGGTGGCGGACGGACTTCCCCCGATTTCGGTGCTCCCTCCCCGGGACGATGGCGTAAGCACTCCCGGTCTGTCGCTCCCATACACCGCCTGGGAGGCACTTAAGTACTGCGGGTAGCCTAGCTGGGGGAAAGACATCTCCACCGCCGAAATAGTCGCACAGTAGTTGTACCGTCCGACAAAACTGTGCGTAAAAAAAACAAAAAAGTATGCGAGAGAAAAAAAGAAAAGAAAAAAAGAACCCGGAGGAGTAAAGGGAAAGTGTTTAAGCCAAAGTCACAGCTACTACAGACATACAGTGGTATGCAGTCAAAACAAGCCCGCTCTTAAATCTCGGCTTCCTCTCTTTTCTCGCGCAAAGTCCGCTGGATGTGATCTGATCAACAATTGCGCTCCGACTGACGCGCCTGGCCCTGAGGTCTCCAGGCTGATCTCTCAGATACAATTTGAAGTTGATGCTTTGATTGGCATCCCCTACTTGAGCCTGCAAGCTCCTCCTCGTTTGGAGCTATGTGGATAATGTGAATATAGAGTGAGCACATTGGCTGGGGCCTCTCTCTCTCTCTCTCGCGCTCTCTCTCTCTCTCCCCCCCCTCTCTCCCTTTTTCTCTCTCTCTGACTTTGACTCACACACACGCACACACACATACACTTTCCCTCTCTCTCTCTCCCTCCGTGTTTGGACTTATTGTATGTTAAATGTTCAAGCATTAGAGTCCATTCACCGAAGGCTTTGATTGTTGTATGACAACCTGTCTACACGATTTTACAGCTGTCCGACACAGGGGGAAGTAAACCCGTCAGAAGAAGGAACTTACTTTGAATAGATTTAAATTGTAATTAAAGAGGGAAAATGCCTCTCCGCAGAGGAATTAGTATTTGCTATCACGGGCTGCTGGTGCGTTTATTAAATTCATAGTGACTCATTTACTCTTTAAGTGTCATTCTCCAAGTTGGATTTATTCTTTGTAGTCTTCTTCATCCACTGTTTCCAAAACTTGTGTACTTGTTAAATCGGCATAATAGTTTAATCACGTTTATTAGGATGAGAGTTTTTTTTTTTAAAACAGAAAAACAAATGTTTTAATAAAATTACCAGATGAATAAATAAGGAAATGAAATGTAATATTCCAGCCATGTCAGTGCGATGCGAGTTTAAAGATTAAATAGCTCATTTCCGGGCGCTTTTCCTTCCAAAAGTCCAAAAGGAAAACGATGCAAATCTCTCCATATGATTTATTAATTATGTATGTTTTTATTGACTTGTGTTTTGGTTGCCTTTGATTTCCACATAAAGGTTTAATCAGCCAAATTCTCCCTTTTTTTTCTCACCCTCGTTCCATCTGCACGCGCGCGCGCGTGTGTGTGTGTGCCTGCGTTTTTGTGTGTGTGTGTGTGTGTGTGTGTGTGTGTGTGTGTATTTTAACCAGATTGCTGTTGTCCTTTGTAACAACAGAGCCACTTCACGTTTCCTTGTTTTGAGTGAAAAGGAATGAGGGGAAAAAGCCAGGGACAAGTCAAACACCGAGGCACCAGGCTGTAAAGTCTGCAGGTCCCTGGACGCACCACAAAATATTACGCACGTGCAGTTTGAGTCCCCAAATTAATTTCAGCGATTTGCCTATAATTTTAACACATTAACTAAAAAAAAAAAAAAAAAAAAAGCGAGGGTGAAGAGTCATTTATCCATCATAGTTTAGAAACATGATCACTAAAACTGTGACTTGTGTGTTCCTAAAATTTTAAAATTTCTTTCATAAAATAGGATTCAGAAAAAAATATAAATCCACAAGAGTTGAAGTAAAAAAAAAAAAAATCTGATGCTGTAGCTTCTGGTCACCTCCTCTTGAACCATTTATCCATTTTCCAGCTCAGAAAAAAAGGGTCGGACTCTAACCTCCACTTTCCTTAGCTGTCCACTCCTGACACAGCCATGTGGCGCACGAGAGGGGGCTGTTCATGTTTTAACACTTCTATTTTTATTTGATTTGATTCTTATATCACCCACCTCCCCGAGTCAACGGGGGGGTTATTCTGTAGATCTAGATTTAATGCCTTAACGACTGAAGCCCAAGAAGTCAGTAGATTTTGATCTGCACCAGATGGCTCCGAGTGGATATTGCCGAGCGCCGAGGATCTGTTAAAAATATCTGAGGGGCACTGATGGTAATCTGGGTAACACATCAGAAAGGAGGGGAGGAATGGCAATTGTGATAACCCGCTGGAAATGTGTGCAGGGGGCTAAATATGATGGCTGTGGTGGAGGGTAGGTGGGTGGGGGTGAGGAGACTGGAAATCTCTCTAAATAGAAATAAAAGAGACATTAGAGAAAAGTGAATGAGCTTGATCATCAATATTAAAATAAAGGACGTAGTGATAATTATAATACTATAACAAATAATGGAAATATTTAGAGTATAATCACTGGATTTGCAAATTTTCTTTTTGTCTTAAAGAAAACATTTTTATCTAGATTTTTCTTTTTGTGCAAAACAGAAATGTGACTCTTGGTAAACAATGACACGTGTTGAGGGCAATAAACCATCACCGTTAACTGATTTATTGGTTCTTGTTAAACTCTCATTACCACCACAAGCTCCTCAGCTTCAACCCAGGGAGAGAGAGAGAGAGAGAGAGAGAGAGAGAGAGAGGGAGAGGGAGAGAGGAAGAGAAGGAGGGAGGAGGGAGGAGGGGGAGAGAAAACTTTGTTCCGGATCCTCTCGCCTTCCATCCCTCCTTTTTAAACTCGTCCACCACCACGCATTTCCTCGAAACAGGCTGGCTTTTACCAGCTGGAGCCGTGGCTTTATGACGCACACTAGCATGAACACACGCGCGCGCACACGCACACACCTCATATTTTGAATACTCTCCCTTTATATATTTAAAAAAAAGACAGAGAATCCTCAGGCTGCTCATATGAGAGAGTTTTATCATGTAAATCTACAGGAGGCTCTTCATAAGCTGTTATGCCTTAATGGCCACATTCTAATAAGTCACTCAGGTGGTGGGCACGTTCCCTTTCTTTCTTTCTTTCTTTCTTTCTTTCTTTCTTTCTTTCTTTTCTCTTTCTTTTTTTTTTTTTAATTCAACAAGCCTGCACGCTCCACATTTTAAATTTCCTGTCTGGCACCTATTTCATCTTTACCCATTTTAAATATATATTTGATACCTGCCCTCTGCAGGAAAAAAAAAACATATAGCTCTGCGTTAACATTGTTTATGTTACTGATGTGTGTGTTAATGTAAAATGGCGTGTAAGCTCAACCACCTCCACCCAATCTGTCACCTACCAAATCCAAAAGAAGGAGATCAAAGGAGAGTGAAGCGCCTCTCTGCCTCTGTCTCTGTGTTTGCCTATAGAGTCTGAACCTCTGAAGGAACATAAATACTGTGGTAGAGGATAGACAGACACCTTCCTCATTATTTATGTATAAAGTAGAAATTATATTGAACAGCATACCGTACATTTTATTTATGAGTAAATGACACACAATTCAGGTGCTCTATTTAGTTAAAAAAAAAATAGTAGGACATTACAAAGAAAAGAAAAGTTAACACCATTTTAAAGTTGACTATATCAAAAGAAAAAGAGTGTTGTAGAAGTTTTGATTTTATTTCTCAAGAAAAAATGTATGTGTAAATATGTAAACAAACACAAATGCCCTGTTTTGTAAAAAATTACTGACACTTTATTTTTGAATCCTCTTTTTTTCTATTTTTTATTTATTTTTTTGATTAAATATCACACAAGTTAATTGTGAAAATAGCTTGCTGTACCTCAACAAGCATGTTTATGTTATTTATATATATATATTTCTAAAAAAAAAAATAGCTGTTAGTATGGAGTCATGTGTCATAATGCAGCCTAATTCAGTTTAATTAAAATCTCTATATGCTCAGACTCAGGCCTCCGGGATCTGGGCCAACACATAGACCTGAATGACTACAATAGAAGTCAAAGAGAGTGGACCTGCATTACAATAACACCGGTCATGTTGACAGTTGGCTACCACCGCAGAGGTCAAGGGTGTCTCTGTGAACTAATAACTGTGGTGAAAGATACTCCTTTCCTGCCTCTGGGAGTGCCAAAGTTGAGGAAAGGTTAAGAATCCGCAGAATGTCCCTTTTGTGCTTTTCTTGCAGATTATCAAATTAAGTGTTGAAACCAAAACTCCTTTTCCCCCCGAAGAGGGGAGATTAGATGAATATCAATGATATCAATGGACCATCACAATTGTTAGACCTTGTCCCTGTAACATGGCGCGCAAACACGTACACTCACGCATCGGTTCCAAACGTACTCCCTGAACTGCGTCAGAGCGACTCGACTATTTAGCTGGGGGGTTAGAGTCGGAGGACCACTGGTGTTACTGTGAGACATTTGATACACAGACAACTGCACCACACCTATAGGTAAGGAAACTAGGAATTTCCTGGATAATAAAAGAGGTCTATTCTGGGTCTTAGAAGGTCAAGACGTTATACACTTGACAGCTAAACACTTGGAGGGGTGGTGTTCCCCAGTTTTGAAGTGACAAAGAGCTTTGGAGCTCAAACTGTTGCTAAATTTAAAGGTGCTCTGCAGCAGTTAATGTGCATTTTCTCCACCACTGTACATGTTTATTCCTGCAACAGGTACAGGGTAATAAATAATTTTAACTTCAGATGATACTATTATAACACTAGAATGTCAGGGCATCAATCTGTCAGCACCCATAGGGGATAGTAAAGTACTGGCTTCAAATAGACATGCATTCAAGCCTATGTACTTTTTATTTGATTTTCTGCTATGATTAACATTCATCTTTGTGTATGATGCTTAAAACATACTTGTAATTTTGTAGTTGTGATAGTTATGTATCTCATAATTTACAAATAAATTTTGTTGGCCTAAAATTAACTTAATTAATTCAAACTTGGATTCAAAACAACTTTGAGGTCAGGGGTACATGACTTTCTAAATGATTGCCCTCCAGATTTTCGGTCACATATTTTGTTGTTTTTAATGTTTTTGTCCCTCTGTTTTAATCCATATCATAAAATTAGGCAGCCCTACCTCCAATAAATTACATTCATACACTAATTTGTTCTGATAATTATGTTTTTAGAGACACAAAAACATCACAGACGGGGGTTTGCATCGTGTGTTGAGGTTTAGGCAACACAAGCTTATTGGTTAAAGTTTGGGAAAGAATGTTAATAAAGTAAACAAGTCTCATCTCCTGCTTCAAGTCACTATTGTCTTTTAATTGATCAAACCAAGACTGTGACCTTTCCCTGATCTTAACCAAGAGAGTGCCAAAATGTGCCCTGAGAAACCAATCATGCTGTAGTGTCTACGAGTGGATGTACAAAAAAATGAAAAGTACATTGTCAGTGAATATTGTGCCGATGCAGTATCAACTTTTAGTGACTTGGCAGACACATTTATTAACGTGCCCTCATTATGCTGATAAGAAAGCCTAATCTGGGATCCCTTACATTTTGCTTCAGGTGCAC